GGGAAAGAGAGAAAGTACTCTCCATGGGAAATGGTCACTCTGCAAACCTCTCTCCCCCATTCTCTTCTCAGGATTCTGAGCACAGACATACATGTGCCCAGCATTTTTCAAGCTGCTGGGTCCAGGGACTTGAACTGTGCTATCAGCCATGTGGGATCCAGCTGCCTTAACCACCATGCCATGGGCTGGTTCCTACTTGTCACACAGTAGTCATTACCTGCTGTCAATTACACAGGGAAGGGCCTACAAAGTGCAAAGAAAATTAATGACAAGGGACCAGCAGATGGCATAACATTTTCACCGCTGGACTCCCATGTAGTTGACCACAATTTAAGTCCCGGTTCGAGTCCTGGACCCAGCAATTCAAAACCCACTCTGAGCCGTGTACCTGCATGCCCAAAGTCCTGAGAAGAGAATGGAGGAGAAGGGATTGTGTCACACCCATGCCCCCTCGTGGGTGATTTCTTGCTTTCTGTCTCTCTGTCGAGTGCATGCGCCCTACAGCAAAAATCTCTCTCTCAAAAAAAGAAAATTAATGACAAATCTGTATTTTACTCAACACAGTCTTTCTCTAAAATAAATAGAAAACTGAGCTCACCAGAAATTAATGGGAAAAAATGGCAAAAAAGAAGAAACATTTAAAAGAATCTTAATAATCCTAATACTTATCCAGAGAGATTTTAAAGAATACTGTGACTATTTTTTTCTTTTTAAAGCAACTACTGGGTCAGTCTATGGCCTAGTGGTTAAAGTGGCAGGATCCTACATGGTCAACCGTATGGTTAAACCCAGTAAAGTGTCTCATCCACAGACAGTCATGACAAATGCAAATAAATCCAACTTCAGATCAATCCCAGTAAGCTTTCTGAAGTCAAAGAGAAAATGTAAAGATTTCTGAGGAAATGTTAGTATGTATATAAGAATGAGAATTCCACTGACTTTGAATTTCTTAGCAAAAACACTTGCCACTAAAACTGAATGGAGAGGGCCAGCAGGTAGCATAGTGGTTAAGGTGTTGGACTTCCACATGGAACACATTTCAAATCCCAGACCTGGTGGCTTGCTTTCTCACTTTCCCTCTCCCTTTCTCTGTCTCTGGTGAGCACATGTACCCTATAGTAAACTTAAAAAAAAAAAAGTTTACATAAATAAATAAAGTAACACTGAATGGAGGAATGTCTTCAAAGGTCTGAGGAAAATAACTTTGACTCTACAAATCTCTTTTGGAGGCCAAACTATCAAGTGAGAGGACAAAAGAAAGAGTTAGAGAATGTAAAACGATCACGCATCACGCGTATGTACAAATAAGCTTTCACTAATACTCTAGGAAAAGGAAACATTTTCAATAATATATTTTAGAAGCTAGAATATCTGTCTCTGTCTAGAGACAAGGATAAGAGTAGAACAGAACATGTACACAGAAGAAAAAACATGGGATACAAGAAATGGTTTGTTGCAGAGTTGGATCAAGAAGATACAAAGAAAGCTGCCAAGAAATTAAAGGATTCATTATAATTAATAACTGAAAGATTCCGAGTGTCAAAATTAGTGATACAGAATTGCATATTTTAGAATATTTATCAAGTCACATTCTTGTTTGGATGGTGAGTCATATTTACATAATCATGATTCTGAACATTTAGAATCAGTCTACAGACAAAGCACAGAAGACAAAGAACACGATGTAAATGCCTCTACAATGTAGAAAAGTTAATAACCAAAATTAACAGATGGAAGAAGAGGAGATAAAAAAGCTAAAAACGGGCTGGAAGGTGGTGTGGTGGTTAAGGGCACTAGACTCCCACATGGCTGACCATGGTTTGAGGCCTGAACTTGGTGGCTTGCTTTCTCACTTTCCCTCTCTCTCGCTGTATCCCTCTCTGGTCAAAATAAAATAAGTAAAATTAAATAAAGTAATTCTTTAAAAAAAAAAAGTATGATAAATCTTTTAAAAAAATAGCTTAGTGTCAGTGATTTTTTTTTTCATTTTTCACTGTGGCAAGTTAATAAAACTCTTAAAAGTTGTAAACAAAAGTTCTTTATGTTATATAAAGATAAAGGTAATTGCTTAAGAAAATGAGAAGTAATTAAGTCAAAATAAACACTAAAGAGAGGAAGCAAAGTATTCGGAGGTATGTCACTATTATTTATATTAGTAGCTGAAGTTCACGTATACAGTCCAGTTGGACGAATGAAGATACAGGGAGATGCTGTGAATCAATCATGATGGTAACTACCGGAAAACGCAAAGCGAATCACGGACAGCAGCTATCTCTAGGAAATGTGAGAGAGAGATACAAATGGGAGATACTGAGAGTTACATAATTCCACGGCATTCTGTTCCTTGGAGTTTTTATGAACCATGTACTATATTATTTCGATAATAAAAACAGATAAAATTAACTATATAAATAAATAAAATTTCAGAGAAAATAGAGCAAGTTGGATTTGAATTCCTTGTGTTTCTTTGTACATTCATACCACGATTCTGTAACTACTTTGCCCAGTTTAATCTTAAATTACAAAGGACTTCAGAAGGTATTTTTATGTAATTAACTATTGCTCTATAACATAAATAATGATGACATTTACCTGGAAAAATATATGCATTGTTTCCTTGACCTGGTGTAAAGACTCGCCCATCTTTGAGTCTCACTGGCTCAAATGGACTGCCACTGGCAAACAGACATCTTCCCTGTTAATTAAATGAAATAACCTCAATTTTGTTACTTTATGTGGATGAAAAAAACTCGAACAAATTCAGATAAAATCATATCCTGTAGTAAAGCAGACCAATATATTACATGGAAACAAGGTATGATTTATTATATGACATAATGCTTTCATTAAAATCCTTTCATTAGAATGAGATTTGATTTATGCACTGTACACATTCAAAGTTTTAAAATTACCACTTAAAAAATGTCAGGCATGTCTATTTATTTTTTATTTTTATTTTTTTGGAGAGGTTTTTGCTATAGGGCGCATGCACTCACCAGACAAACAGAGACAGAGAGACAGAAAGCGAGAAATCACCTCCCAGGGGGGATGGTCACACTGCAACCCCTTCTCCTCCATTCTCCTCTCGGGATCTTGGGCACGCACGCACACGCGCCCGGCGTGAGTTTTAAGCCACCGGGTCCAGGATGCGAACCGTGGTTGACTACATGGGAGTCCAGCGACATAGCCATTACGCTAACTGCTGGTTCCCATCAGGCATGTCTATTTCTTTAAACAAATTTTTTTAAGGGGCCAGCAGATGCTGTGGTGGTTGCGTTGCTGGACTCCCACATGGTCAACTACAGTTCTAATTCCATATCCAGTGGCCTGAAACTCATGCCAGGTGTGTGTGTGTGTGTGCCCCAAATCCCCAAAAGCAAATGGAGGAGAAGGACTGCGGCATGGCCATTTAGCACTTTCTCCCTCTCTGTCTCTCTGGTGAAGGCACCCACCCTATGGCAAAAAAAATCTCTCTTAAAAAAAAATCAATGTAGATGGCTTGTATTAGCCCACATAATATTGATGTAAACATTTACACACAGAGACAGAACCATCAAAATGAAATTGCTACCATTTACTGTACACCTGCTCTTTGTGGCTCTGTACCAGGTACGTTATCTGTGTTAACTCGGTTCATTCGGCCTGCATGAAAATCTCGGGTTGACTGTAAGTGGCACAGTGGCAACATGTGACATTCTGCAAAGCTGACCCCTATAAGAAGGTTCCGAACTCAAGTCCAGAGACCTGAGGACACCAGGCACACACGTAACCATTAGCTGGGGTGGGCTGAGGCTGGGATTGGATAGTGGCATCAGGACCTTGTAGGGAGTGCTGCCTTTCTCTCTCCCCCTTATGGAAGAAATAAATAAATTTGAAAAAAAAAAATCAGAAAACTAAGTCTTCTATATTTTCAACTACTTTGTAAATAGTCACACATCAAAACTATTGCAGTTAATCATTGATTTGATTATTATACGATGTATGCATGCCTTAAAAAGACCATACTGTAGGGCCAGCAGGTGGTGTGGTGGGTAAGGTGCTAGACTCTCACATGGCCGATTGCAGTTCAAGTCCCAGACCTGTCAGCTTGAAAATTACACTGAGCACATGTGTATATGTGCCCAAACTCCCAAGAGGAGAATGGAGGAGATGGGATTGCAGCATGGCCGCCCCCTCTCGGGGGTGATTTCTCACCTTCCCTCTCACTCTTTTTCTCTCTCTCTGGCATGTGAACTTGCCCAACTGCAAAAAAACTTAAAAACAAACAAAAATCATATTGTAGACCACAAAGATATACATCAATTATATGAAAATCAGAAATTATAATTGAAAAAATATTATAGCAGTTAAACCTAAATCCGGATTTTTATAATCCCAAACCAATAGTCTATAATGTTGTAAAATTCCCACTAGGCAGTTTATAAAACAGGCATATGGTATAACCGCATAATCATTTCAGAAAAAAAAATGACATATTGCCTTTTTTTAAGAACATAAGTGGGCCAGTCAGTGGTATAGTGGTTAAGGCATCTGGATCCCACATGGCCAACTGCACAGTTCAGCCCCGGACTTGGTAGCTTAGAAAGTACGCTGGTATATGTGTGTAAGAGATCAAAATCTTGAGAGGAGAATGGAGAAAAGGGATTGATTATGTTTTTAAAAGAATCTTTAACTTTTGGGAACCAGCAGTTAGCGTAATGGCTATGTCACTGGACTCCCACATAGTCGACCGTGGTTCGTGTCTTGGACCCGGTGGCTTAAATCTCACACCGGGCGCGTGTGTGTGCGTGCCCAAGATCCTGAGAGGAGAATGGAGGAGAAGGGATTGCGGCGTGACCATCCCCCCTGAGGGGTGATTTCTTGCTTTCTGTCTCTATGTCTCTCTCTGTCTGGTGAGCACACGCGCCCTATAGCGAAAACCTCTCAAAAAAAAAAAAAAAACTTTAACTTTTAAAAAAACTTAATTATATTATTATTATTTAATTTGACCAGAGGGAGAGAAAGGGAAAGTGAGAAAGCAAGCCTCCAGGTGCAGGCCTCAAACCATGGTCGGTCATGTGGGAGTCCAGAACCTTAACCACTGCTTCACCTGCTAGCCCCAAGAATCTTTAGCTTCTGAAAAATGTTATTATAATATTTATAAAGAAATGATAACTGGGATTTCCTTCAAAATGGTCTGGATTGATCTGGAGTGTGTGGCATGTAGGAGAAACAAGATTAGCAAGGAGCTGATTTATTTTTGAAACTAGGTATATGAGAAATAATTATACTATTTGAAATGTTACAAAATGAAATTTTATTTTAAAGACAGGGTCTCACTATGTTCCAGCTCTCCTGCATGAGCTTCCTGAGTAGCTAGGATTACAGGCATGTATCACCAAGACCATCTCTTTTAGGGTAGCTCAGGAATCGAACTTGAGCCTCCCAAGTGGCTTCAGCTTGCTAAGCAGCATAACCTGTCAACCATCATGTGCTACCATGGTTGGGCATAGAAAACTTTATTAAAGGAGTAGAGACCAAAAATTTGTCAGATTTATTATTTATTCTCAAGCAGACCCTAACAATTATAACTACTGTTGTAATTGTTTACAATTAAAACATTGTAAGCAAGCCTTTAAAAATCATTTTCTATGGCCACTAAAAGACCACTTATTAGAATAATACAGAAAATGATTGCACTGTGGAAATTAAACTTTATAACACCAGAACATAAGAAAAAAAGCAAGTGTCTTAATGGTAATAAGCAGGTGTTTGTAATTGGGATGTAAGTAGTAGGATCAAAGAATCCAAAAGCATTAAGTCACAGCAAATTTGGATGAAAGTAAAAATCTGTTCTAGATAGCTATCAGAAAACTAAAAAATGGCCCTAATAAAGATAAACACTAATGGGAAGATGCATTTGGAGAGAGCAGAATGGTTTCACTGCCCAGCCGCAGTGGCATACGTAGCTGGGAGCAGCGATACGATGCAAGAGCCATATGGGACACCCAGTTTGAATACCGACTGGGAGACCAGAAGGAAGACCACAATGTGGTGAGACCCTGTCTAGGTTATTTGTCTCCCTCTCTCTCATAAAAATAAATAAATACATTTAAAAAATTATTTCACAAAGTGTGAGAGCAAGAAAGCAGTATTTACAAATCGATTATTTCTACAACATGAGATTTTAAGTCTGTCACTAAATAATTATAAAAGGAATCAAACAGAAATTCTACAAATGAAATCTATACAATAACTAAAGTTAAGAACCCAACAATAGATGAGCTGAAAGAGAATCCACAAAATGGAAGAAAATCCAGAGAAAGTCAACAGAATGAAACAGAGAGCAAAAAAGATATATATACAGGAAAGTATGAGAGATCTATCTAAGATATGATGACAAAGTTGAGTTGTGTTAAGTGGAGCCCTAGCAGAGCAGAAAGAAAATGTGGCCAAAGAAGAGATAATGGGTAATATTTTTCCAAAACAGAAAAATAAAATAGAAAGCAGACGTCAAGCCACAGATGCAGGAGCACTATACTCTCCAGGTAGAATAAACACAAAGAAAACCACACCTAGGTCCACTGTAGTAAAATGGCTCAAAACCTAAGACCTGATAATGTTTCAAAAGGAAAATTTATGTCAGAAAACAATAAAATACCTACAAAGTGCTGAAATAAAGCATCTACCAACATTTACTTCTATGCAGAAAGAAAAATAATCCTTTGAAATGGAGGCAAAAATAAAGGCATTATCAAGGGAATTCTTCAGACCCACTCTTAAGAAAATGAGTTCTTCTGGTAAAAGGAAATTTTAGAAGTACAGAAGCACAGGGAGAAATGATGAAAGAAAACATAAAAATGTAAGTAAATCTAAATAAATTTTATAAATAAAACAATGTTTTATATAAAACAATATCTTTTCTTTCTTTCTCTTTTTTTAAGAGAGATTTTTGCTTTAGGGCATGTACACTTGCCAGCGAGACAGAAAGCAAGAAATCATCCCACAGGGGGGATGGCCACACTGCAATCCCTTCTCCTCCAGTCTCCTCTTGGGATTTTGGGCATGCACATACATGCGCCTGGCCTGAGTTTTAAGCCGCTGGGTCCAAGACTTGAACCATGGTCGACTACATGGGAGTCCAGAGATGTAACCATTATGCCATCTGCTGGTCCCAAACAATGCTCTTTCTGTTTACGTATATAAGGAATTAAAGTGTATAACAATAGCACAAATAGCATAAGGACATTAAACAGGAGTTAAAAGGTAACTTATTTCTGGAAATGATATATGCAATAATTTGTATCAGATAGAGAGAAAGAGAGAGAGAGAGAGAAAGCAAGAAAGGAAGCACCAGGTTCAGGACTTGAACCAAGGCTAGCCATGTGGGAGTCCAGTGTCCCAACCACACCATCTTCTGGCCCCTGTATCAGATTTTTAAAAATCCATAATAGAGAATCTGTAAATAAATGCATATGATAAAGTGAGAGCACGCATGTGTGTGGGTATATATTTTGACAGGGTCTCATCTCCCTCTGAAAATCTCCAACTTCTCATACTCCTGAATACAAAAACATGTGCCTGGACGTTTTCCAGGCTGACCAGGCGAGAGGCTTGAACTGGTCAGCATGTGGCTTCCAACCACAGTACAGTATGCCACGGACTGTACCACCTGGATTTTGATGACCCATGAATGCATGATGTAATCAGTCTCTAGGAAATCCACCAAAATAAGTGTGAAAGAATTTATAACTAATAAGCTAATGGGGGAAAGTAGGAGATATAATCAATCTGTATAATTATTAATACCTCTGTAAGTGTGTATGCTTCTTCAGCTGTGCACTCAGCCTTTGCTGTAGGATTACTTAATGCAAATATTACAGGCCTTTCATTGATACGGGCCATGGCTTTGATTACATCAGGAGTAAAAAGTCGGCCAGCGCCTGCAACTCCTATAATAAATTAGAGGAAAAAAGCAACTTCATTACAGGTGTAACAAAGCAATTCTTATCAATAACATTTCTACAATTGGTTCTCAAAGATGATTAGCATTACTGACATGATGCTATGGGAACACAACCTGAAAAAAACAATTAAGTGCTGAAAGTTTTCACTTAAATATTAATACTTACTGTCTACTATACATATAGTAAATAATAGGGAAAAACAGTATAAGACAACGATCACCATCACTAACATGAATGAACTGTGAAGACATTAAGCTAAGTAAAATAAACCAGTCACAAAGGGACAAATATTGTACAATTCCACTTACATAAGCTCCTAGAGTTCAAACTCATAGAGAGAGAGTAGAATAATGGTTGCCAGGGGCTGGGGGAACGGAGGATGTGAATTAGTGCTTTAATGCGTGGGTGTTGAGTGTCAGTTTTCCAAGATGAAAGAAAGAGTTCTGGAGATTAACTACGCAGCACTGTAAATGTCCTTAACATCACAGAACTAAATACCTAAATATGGTTATAACAGCAAATTTTACATAATGTGTATTCTACACAATTAAAAGGAAAGAAGATAAAACTTGCATCTCAACTGTTAAACTCTGTGTAATCACTACAAAATAACATGAATTCAGAAAGGTTAAGAATCATCTTGACTAAAGTAATCCACTTTCTTGATTCTGCTGAGTTTAATAACCTTTTCATTAAGTCCCCTACAATGTCCCAGTGTATTACGCCATTAGGATATCAAAATGAGTATAACGCAGGTAATGTGCAGAGAAAAACAAACAGAAAATCAGAACACCTGTACCAAGGGCTGGGACAGAATTATGCAGTGTTGTGGAAGCTTGGCATGGGGAGAATACTTAGGCCATGAGGGAGATTTGAGGATGACCAAGGGCTGCTTCAGCTGGGTACTAATCCAGTCCATCCAGTAAAAAACACTACATTAAACTGTTTTCTTCTTTGACCCTCTGAGGGTGGGGCGAGTCAATGGATAGATTCCTAGGGCACCTTATTGATTTCTGAGAGAAGATGACTGGAAAACCTTTAAGATTTCTCCTCTAAAAAAATTATGAGTTGTAATCAGTGAAGAAGCCAGTACAGACACACTTTTCCTGATCATAGGAACTTACTATTTGTGGCTGTTCTACTACTGACTATTCAATAGAGCTCCTACACGAAATTGATAAAATTACAAGAAAGATGGTAGACTAAAATTTTACAGCTATATGGGAAATTAATCAGCCCTCTTTTAAAGACTTTTTATGTTTTCTGCTGAGAACTTAATGCCACAGTCTGATGTTCAGCTGTACAACATCTGACTCAAGACACACTGAAAATGTTCATCTTTGTTGTGATGAAAATCTGACTCTGCGTGGGATTTTTCTGGCACAGTCTACCAATGACCTTGGTCTTTTTCAGGTTTTGAGTACAATGGTCATAACGACTCTACAACCAAAGCACGATCAACTGCATAGCTTTTAGCACCTAAAAGTACAAGCAACACCTGTTAACCAAATTTTCATATAAAAGCTATCATAGAAAATGCCACATTTGCTGAAAGTTAGGTAAAACCTGTCAATTCAGTTTTAGCAATCCTACATGGTAGTTATAACTGGCAACATACTATTTAGACTAGGGTAGAATTATATGTCAACAACTTTACTTACCAATTACAGCTGAAGGTTTAAGTATATTTACTGCATCTTCAAAACTATCAGGTAGGGTCTCTGGGGCTGAGTGAACAAATGGTTCTTGATGACTATCTATTTTAGCTTTCCGCCCCTGAATTTTTAGATAAAATAGTTTATTTTAGTAAATGCATATTGAGGATTAAGCAAAAAGATATCATTATGAGTTACAAACTGTTTCTCCAATAGGAGTATCTTTTCATTTTCTTATATTTTCCTCTTCAACCTGTATCTTCCAAATCTGTCTTCACAGTGTCCAAACTCAAATATTAAACATGAAACCCCATTATACCCAGAACCTCTCTAGTCCCTTTCAAAAGCTCATTAGTCTATGATGTCCTCTTGAATCCAATATGGCATAAACGGTGACAATCACTTATCTGAATTAGATGAATTAAGACTTTTTCATATTTTAGAAATGTAATATATCAAACATTGAGAGTACCCCCAACCCCACCCACAAGTACTCATAACTGAACAAACTTACAAATAGTCACACCAAGTACAAAAGGCTAACACTACAAATAGCCTCTGATTGGTTTGGGTCAGATTTTGCTACCAAGTTCAGGTAAATCAGATTTGTCAGTAAATGAAATTCAGGGAAAAAATGTGGGGACTTGATCAGAGTTTTTAAGATTTCAGAGCTGTAGACAGTTATCATGGACTTATACTACCCAGAATTCAGAAATAAGAAAAAGGAATTCTGGTTCATGATGGCAGAATGGAGAAACATGCTTTTCTTCCAAACCCCAGGTCAGAAACCATAAAAATTAAATCCTTAGTAGTGCCATAAATCCAGAAGAGATACTACTGACAGACTAGAACAAGGAAGAAAGATTTAAACCATAAAAAGATAGTTGAGTGCAAAAGTCAAACAGATTGAGAAATCATATCCGTATTTTGGTACAAGTGAAATCTCTCTCATAAAAGTAAAATTTCCCATCAGAGCTCCAGAACAGCTCGAGAACTAGCAGAGGCTGCAAAAGCAGCTTGCAGTCATCAATTGGCTAAGCAGTGAATTAAAGGCCTGAAACACAACCTCAGCAGATCTCTCTCCGAACACTGGCTTCGTAGGCTTGCCCTCAGAATCACCAAAGCTCTCTAATATGAGGGTTCAAGAACAAACTTTCAAAGTTCAAGAACAATGCTTAGGGTCACCAGGGGAGACGGAAAGCCTAGAGACTACTTCCACACTAACAGAAATACATACTCTGGACCTATAAATGAACAGGGGTCTCATTTGTGCCTTCCAATATACCATATTCATTCTACACCTGACCATCGATATGACAAAGAATCACAAAACACTTGATAAAAACCAACACTGCAAAAAGCACTAAACTGACTGTGAACCAGTAAAACCAGTAGAAACATATCTCCCCCGATAACCTTCTAAAAAAGTGATTTCTAATAACTCTTGCATGTTAGGTACTGGCAAAATACAGTAGTTACAGCTCTGTTGGGAAGCAGCACATTTTAACAACTAGAGCACAGGCTTTGCAGGAAAGCTACCTACGTCTGAATCTACCTCCATCACTTGCAGGCTGATGAACTTGGAAGTCTCCTGTCTTTCCCATTTTTAAGTTTATTTCTATCTTCCACAAGTAAGATAGGGACAGACAGTGTGCATACACTCCCAACAGGGTCTCGACTCCGATCCATTCCTAGTCTTCTGCCAGCTCTGGATCATGAGTAAGTGCATGCCCCATGTATTCAGGGAGGTCTTTTAACTTGAACTGGGATTCTTCCCATGTGGGACTACCTTGCAAAGCCCTGTGTTTTACTGCTGCACTACTATCTGGTTCCTCTCCTGATCTAGTTATTTATTTATTAATGTACCTCAGTTTATCTTTTTAAAAAAATTGTCACAGGGCCTATGAGCTCACTGGACAGAGATAAAGTGAGAAAGCATCTCCCGGGGAGCATGGTCATACCAAAATCCCTTCTCTTTCACTTCTCCTTCCTTTCAGTATTTTGGACACGCATGCATACTTGGCATGTTTTCCAAGCCACTGGGTCAAGCACTCAAACAGCATAGCTGTTCATGTGGGATCGAGCTGCCTTAAACTACAACACAGGCTGGCCCCTTCCTCCTTGTCTCTCTCTCTCTCTCTCTTTTTAATATTTGCTATAGGGCACATGCACTCAACAGAGAGGTAGACGGAGTGGAAGGAATGGGAAGGAAAGCACACCTCACCAGGGTGGGGAGATGGCCAGGCCACGATCCCTGCTCTCCCATTTCCCTCTTGGGATTTTGGCAAGCACATGTACCCAGCTTGTTTTTCAAGTTGCCAGGTCTGGGACCCGATCATGTGGTTGCCCACGTGGAATCCAACTGCCTTTACCACCATACTACCAGCTGGCCTTCCCTTGATCTGATCTGTAGTCACTATGTGGGATCCGGCTTCTCTTGAGCCATGCAATTACCACCGTACCACGGAGCTGACCCAATGACATGTTTAAGCTAATAAAAATGATAATCAGTACTAAGGGAGGCCGGTAAGCCCAAGTTAATCTGGGCAAGTCAATCTGTTATCCATGAACTGATTACACGAGTATGTGCTTTTTTCTAATAAAAATTACATTCTTATGGGGTATTATCATCTCCAAAGGGCTAAAGGGTTTCTTCTCAAATATCAGATATACTGCTAATAACTGCATTAGGTTGTTCTCAGTTTTCCATAGAAGTTTTTTTTTAAAAGAAGGGTTGAATATATTTGTACAATAGCTAATATGATCTCTTAATGGCCAGAGAATGAATTTTTTAAAAAAGTTTAGGGGCCGGCAGGTGGCCCAGTGATTAAAGGCACTCGACCCCCACATGACCAACTGAGGTCTGAGTTCCGGATCAGGAGGCTTGCTTTCTCACTTTCCCTCTATCTCTCTCTCTGATTAAATTAGATAATAATAATAACAGTAATAATAATAAATAAAGTTAAATAAAATAATTTTTAAAAATTCTGGTGCCAACAGAGATTATGCTTTAAATATGAAGCAGGAATCCTTATAAAAGACAGTGAGGGGCTGCCAGGTGGTGTGGCAGTTAAGGGTGCTAGACTCCCACATGGCCAACCACAGTTTGAGTCCTAGACCAGGCAGCTTGCTTTCTCACTTTCTCTCTCTCTCTCTCTCTCTCTCACTCTGTTCCTCTCTAGTCAGAAAGGAAAGGAAAGGAAAGGAAAGGAAAGGAAAGGAAAGGAAAGGAAAGGAAAGGAAAGGAAAGGAGAAAGGAAATCATTAAAAAAAAACAAAGCAAAACAAACAAACAAACAAAACAATGGGCCAGCTGGTATGACAGTTAAGGTGGCTGGATCCCACATGGCCAAAAATCCAACTGGGTTCAAGTCCTAGACCTACCAACTTGAAAAACATGCCAGGTGTGTGTTTCTGTGCATGCCCAGAATCTCGAAAGGAGGGTGCAGGAGAAGGGATTGTGACACAGCCATTCCCCTGGGAATGCCTTCTTACTTTCTCTCTTCTCTGACAAGGGCACATACCCTATAGCAAAAAAATTATTTTAAAGATTTATCTATTAATTTTAATTTGACCAGAGAGGGACAGAGAGATAGAAATAGAGAGAGAGAGAGAGAGAGAGAGAGAGAGAAAGTGAGAAAGTAAGCCGCTAGGTCGAGGACTCGAACTGTGGTCACCCATGCGGGAGTCCAATGCCCCTAACCACACTACCACCTGCTGGTCCCCCATAGCAAATTTAAAAATAAATAAAAAAATACAATGAGACTAGAGGATCTCTGAGACTACAATGGAAGATCCTCACTTGGTAAAATATGGATATACTATTTTTAAAAATCCAACTGATAATATTGTAACAAAATTATTTTGCTTCTCTAAGTTTGAAATACCTTACCTTAACTAATAAACCATACTTGTCAAACATCCAGATTTTCTTTTGTGCTTCCTCTTCTGAGAGTCCATTCTCCACCATAGACATAACGATAAGATTTGCAATTCCCAGAGCAGCCTGCCCAAACAAAACACAAATTTAAAAAATAAAGACTAGCATATGACACGGTGCTTAAACTACTGTATATATGATTACATGTTATGAGGAATGTTTGGCTTATTCTTCCCCTACAAATCACACAGACGTTGATTCTTTGTGATATTTTCTCCAGGTACATTTTAAGTTCTTTCACAACAGCAGTCAAGAATTCATACTTGCTTACAAAAAAATTAGAAGTTTATTATGCTGTTTTATAAACATCAATGTTCTCTTCCATTATTCTTATTCTAAAAGGAGGGTTTTAAATTCTAAAAAGTTTACAAAAACTTACCTCACCTGCTCCAAGAAATAAGATTTTGTGTTCTGATATTGGTTTATTAATAACTTTTTCTGCTGCAAGAAGACCTGCTAGAGCTACTGCAGCTGTCCCTAAAAGAAAATAGAGTTTCAAAAATTAAAAAATGGGCACATCAAAAATCTTTAAAAAGTAGGAATTAAAAACCTAAAGTTTTCTTTTTGCTTTACCTTGAATATCATCATTGAAGGTACAATATTTTTCTCGATACTTTCTCAAGAACCTGAATGCATTATGATTTCCAAAGTCTTCAAACTGAATAAGTGTGTTCTGGCCATATCTAAAAACAGCAAAACCCATAATGGTTGTGTTGAAATACTACTATTAAACAGCTTTTCTGCCTCATTATGAGCATTTAAAAGTAACGTATTATCTTAGTTCGGTTAAGGTCATCTGAAAACTTACAAAGCCTGTGGAAGACTATACCCAAAATGTGTTATAGAACTGTATTACTCATACATAAAAAAAAATATCCATGAGGTGCTTAAACGTGTGACACGATGATGAGCCAAAGGATATCCACCTTTGTAAACAATTTTGAAGAGCTTAGGAGGGTGCAAGGCATATATGAGCATTAAATAACTTCTCAAAAAGGAAGAGACTCAATCTTTGGGTCTCAATAAGTATATGTTTGATATGTATATTCCTATTAGATTAACAGTTAACAACATAAGAAAGTATATACTAAACAAATAGTTAAAATAACTGTTACGTGAGTTCACTAACATTCAGTAAAAGGCAACATCAACCATCTAGATGAGGGAAGGCTTGAAAAGAAGGTGGGACTTAATTTGGGCTCTGAAAGAAAACCAAAAAAGTAAAGAGGTGGGAAGAAACAGTGTATTTTAGTGACCCGAAATTCACCTATCTGGCTAGATACTTCAGGATTTACAGTAAAGGATAAGGGAGAAGTTAGTTACAGCAAGTTGGACTAAATACGGGAGATTCTGAATGCCAAATTAAAGAATAAGGACTTTCTTTTGCATCCCATGTAGAACCATGGAAGGCTGCAGAGAAGAGAAGAATTCGCCCAAGACTCTTTAGGAAGGATAAACCCATTAGTATTGTGTATCACATACTGGTGTGGGGAGAGATGCGAAAGACAAGAGAAGCAGCTGAGAGACTACTAAGTTACAGGATAAGGTTTCTGAAGCAGAAGTTGCTGAAGGAGAAGCTATTACAGTGCCAAGGCAGGTTGGATGGCCAAACTACTGCTTGGCTGTCTGAGGTAGAGAACTGAGAGGAAGAAGGGGACATGACAGTTTCTGGGAAGATAAAAGATTCAGCTTTAGATTTATCAACTTTGACTCTAAAGTAGAATTAATTTTTTTAGAGAATTATATAACTTCTTTTCTATTTACTTTAATTTGACCAGACAGGGACAGAGTGAGAGAGAGTGAAAGAGAGAGAGAGAGCAAGTCACCGGGTCCAGGACTTGAACCGCAGTTGGCCACCAAGCCACCTGCCAGCCCATAAAACAGAATTAATTTTTGAGTATATCCTATGTGCCTGTAATTTAAAAGGTAGGCCAGGGCTAGATCATAAAGGCAAAGACATTTGTACTTTACCTTATGGCAACAGGAAACCACTGAGCGATTTCAAGCAAAAGAATGAAATAATAAAGTACAATTTTAAAAGATGACTCTGCTCTTAATGTTGAGAGGAACTGGAGAGGAGAGAAACTTGGGGAAAGTTTAAAAGGATCCTGGAGATAAGGAGAGAGCAAGACTGTGGCAATGGAAAAGAAAAGATACATTTCTGAGGCGTTTGAGTGATAGTACCAGCTGGATTTGAAGTTTATCTGACTGCATGGGTGTTAAAGGAAAAGAGGAAAGAATCAAAGATAACACCATGACCAAAGGTTTGGTAATAGGGTGAATATTACTGCCATTAAAGAGTCTAGGAATAGAGAAGATAGGCTGTTTGAAAGGAGACTGAGTTCAGATTGGGACATGAACGTGAGGTGCAACAATTACCCCGATGGAAGACTCTAGTTAGACAATGTAGACCTCAGAAGAGCAATGGGACTATAGAGATGGATACTGATGAGTTTAGGAGTCACATGTGTAAAGAGCACAGTTTACATGCTCAAGGAGAATTATGTACTTGTCCACATGTAATAAAAGGGAGCAAGAGCCAGTAAAGATGATGAAAGAAAAAGGTGAGAGAAGGATCAAGTTAGGAAAGTCTGTTAGTAGTCAAGGGAAGAGCAGCTTCAAGGATATTAGGAATGAGAAATCCTAGGCAGATGCTACGACGGAGGAGGAGAAGGACCAAACCATTAAAGAACTAACACATAAAAGCTGCATGTGAGTTTCAGTGGAATGGTAGGACTGAGTCTGGATGTCAAGGGATGAAAGTCAGACTGGGCAATGAAGCTTGGATCAAAGCAGTGACGTCTTCCCTTAAGATGTCACGTGACTCAGGAAAACAATGGTACCATTTTATATCAGCACAGCTAATCAGGCAGGAAAAAGGAAAAGTTCTCAAAAATTTCATCTCTGCTTATCTTTACAAGAGAGAAAACAAAACACAACTGTGGTTCCTTTCTCACTTTCTCGCTAATTGAAAATGCTTTCATATACTCAAACTTTTTAAATACCTGTCAGTAATAGCTTTCATAAACTCATCAATCAGTTCATCATAATGTTGTGAGCGATCTCGTTTCTGATACAAGCCCATGTAAAATGGATCTTTTAAGAGTGCCTATAAAGAAACCAAATGTAAACATAAAATCATCTTTATTATATAAACAGTTTAAACACATAAAAACATATAAAACCCTATTCTAGAAACTTTTAATAGGTTTAATTTACTATCATTTGTACAAATAGTGAAAGTGAAGCTTAAGAAAAAGACTAATACCTAATCACAAAATTTTTCTTTCATAAATGATCATCTTTAAGAAAGGAATACAACAGGAACTAGCAGTTAGCGTAATGGCTATGTCGCTAGACTCCCACATAGTCGACTGTAGTTCGCGTCCTGGACCCGGTGGCTTAAACCTCATGCCGGGCACATGGTGTGTGTGTGCCCAAAATCCCGAGAGGAGAGTGGAGGAGAAGGGATTGCGGCGTGACCATCCCCCCTGGGGGTGATTTCTCGCTTTCTGTCTCTCTGTCTCTCTGGGTCTGGCTGGCTGGTGAGCACACGTGCGCTTGTAGCAAAAACCTCTCCAAAAAAAAAAAGAAAGGAATACAACAAAAAACTGAAAAACCACAGGAGAGGCCCCAGCAGATGGTGTAATGGTTATATCACTGGACTCCCACGTACTTGACCATGGTTTGAGCCCCAGACCCAGCAGCTTAAAATTCACGCCAGGCACGTGTGCGTGTGCCCAAGATCCCAAGAAAAGAATGGAGGAGAAGGGATTACAGTGTGGTCATCCCCCTGGGGGTCATTTCTTGCTTCCTGTCTCTGTAGTGCATGTGCCCTATAACGAAAATCTTTCCTAAATAAATAAATAAATAATAAATAAAATAAAATAAAAACCACAGGAGAAAGGGGCCAGCCTATAGCATGGTAGTTAAGGGGGCTGTATCCAACATGACTAACCATATGGTTGGAATTCCAAATTTGGCAGCTTGAGAAACATGCTGGGCGTGTGTGTATATATGTGCCCAAAATCCCAAAAGGAGAGGAAAATGGAGAAGAAAGGGTTATAGTGTGACCATTTCCCATGGGCAGTGCTAGCAAGTACACAAGCCCTCTGACACATTAAAAAAAAAAAAAATTACTTACCTCATTGTCTGTTCCCACATCAATACACACAGGCAGGCAGTTGTCAGGCCGTATGCCTGCACAGGCTGTGTACAAACAAAGTTTTCCTACTGGAATTCCCATTCCATAGACACCCAGATCTCCGAGCCCCAGGATTCTCTCTCCATCAGTCACCACGACAGCCTTAATTACATTAAAAACAAAACAAAACAAAAACAAATTAAAAGTTGCCTAAAATTGGGCACTAAAGAAGCATTTTAAAAAGACTGATTATCTTCAGATATTTTCGCTCTCGTTCTTAAAAATAAAATTGTTTCTTGGCTAACTTCCGATATAAACCAATCAACCATACTTAAAATTCTACGATTTTTATGAGATTATGAGATTTTAAAAAGAGAATTAACTGGATTTGATTTCCCTCTGAGTTTGGCCTAGAAACAGAATGCTTCTGACTGGAGGACCAATCTAACTATCTTCAGAAAGACTAAATATAGGATGCAAATTACAGAGAAAAAGTAAGAGTTTAGAAATAAAATGCATGTTAGTCCAACATAATAACCTGGGTCAAAGAAAAGAACCCTTAGCAAGAGTAAGAGAAAAAGATCTAAAATAAAAAATATACCTACCTAGAAAATTTTAAGATGATACTGTGAGCCTAATTATTTGGCCAATATTTTTTTTTTTAGATTATTCAAACTAATGATTATTTATCAATGTTTACTGGTAAGAAAGACATGTAATATAGGCAAGTAAGACTACTGCCAGTAATAAACACAAAAGCCTTCTTGGCATATTTTATTTTATGAAAGACAGATTGACCAAGAGTTATACCTGTTAAATTTAAAACTCTTCAAGAGTTTTATATTTGCTAAGGATTACATTTATTCTAGATTTAAAAGAGAAAAGGCATAACTCTTTCCAACACCCTCCAGAACACAAGCTTTCATGGCCTTTAACTTAGTCTCTACCGAGAATATTAGTGAACTAGAAAAGGTAACTAGAGAAGCAGGAGACACCAGTGATGACAGTAAGAGGGCCTGCCTATACTACCTCCAATTTCCTCCTCACAGTCAAACTACAGCAGAACCCATTTCATAACTATTAATATGATCATCTTCTCAGATATAAAGCACTAGATCTGCGTGTATATAAGTGCACAATAAATCAGAGCAACAATGAGAAACTGTTCTTGGAAATGTAGAGGAATTTACAAGGAAAGAGAAAACATCGTGAAAAGGAGGGTTGTGCTATTAGTACCTTAACATGATTTTCTGGCCAGTTATCCACAATGGATCTAACATGACCTCTGTCTGAGATCGAAATAAATAATCCCCTGCAACAGAACAAAAACACCTTTGCATTTCACAACAGTTTTTCGTTTGTTTCTAAGTTTGTTTATAATTGGAATATTTAGATAGTTTAATAAAACATCAGGACACAGTATAATTTCCAAGCAGATTTAGCGATGTCACACTGGTTTAGAGTCAAACATTTTCAAGTACTTCAAATTGTAAACACACTGTTCACATAGCAGCTGCAACAAAAAGTATGAAATGATCAGATCATTTTACCCAAGGAGAAATGTATTCGTATCTCGTGTTCAAGCAGATTCAATACATCTCTGGTTAAAACCAAGATAAAGATAAACCAACAGTGCAGGAGAGCACGGTAAGGCCAAATAAACTACTGTTAAAGCTCACTGAAACCAAGGCAGGAGGGAGCGAAGAAAATAACGCTAAATTTACACAAGAGATGACATACTTGAACTATTAGACAAGTTATCTTTATTTATTTAATTAAACTAACTTATTCATCCAATTGCCAAAGGGTAGGTGCACTCACCAGAGGGGACAGGAGAAACACCCTACAATGGGCCATGGTCATGCCACAATTCCTTCTCCTCCATTTCTCCATCCTGTTGAGATCTTGTACACGCGTGCACTTGTGCCCAGTGTGTTTTTCAAGATGCCAGGGCAGGAATTTGAACCTCAGTGGGCCATGTGGGATCTGGCTCCCTTAACTACTAAGGCTACAGGATCAGCTTTACTTACTTATTTTTATTGGCTATAGGGTGAGTGCGCTTGGTGGAGACAGAGAGGAGGATGAGAGGGAAAGTGAGAAAGCACCCCCACTCAAGGGACGGCCATGACACAATCTCTCCTTTTTCATTCTCCTTTCAGAATCTTGGGCACACACACACATGCATCCAGAGTGTTCTTCAAGCCACCGGGTCCTGGATTTGAATTGCACAGTTGGTCATGTGGATCTAGCTGCCTTAACCACTATGCCACTAGCTGGCCCCCATCTGTTTTTTAATAAACAAGAAGTATACATATTTATCATGTACACCATGTTTTGAAATATTTATACATTTTAGAACAGCTAATGAAAAGTTATATTGAACATAGTAGATATTAATTGAGATAATCTGGATTTCAAAAAAGAAAAGGGAAAGGGAAGAGAGAAATAGAGAAAAAAGAAACAAAGGCCCTAGAAAACATCAGAGACGGTCCTTGCCTTTGAATTAACTCCTATATTTAACTGTCTCACTGGGATCTTAACTTTGGCACTACTACTGTAGCGTACATCAGCTTAGTTCAGCAGTCTCTTTCCCATGGCTATATAAAAGAATCCTCTGATGAGTCTTTTAAAATGCCACGGTCCCACCCCAGAAGTTCTGATTTAATTGGCTTAGAGTTTAGATCAACCAACAGAGACATACCGACTATCTTGTACGTAAAAAAAAAAAAAAAAAAAAAAAAAAGATAAAAACTCACTGCACAGTTCACTGCATATATGATGGACCATTATCTACCCTTGCCCAAAAGGCATGCTTTTATGTCTCACATGAGTTCTCAACTCTGGGTGCACTCAGAATCACTCCATGAGCTTTAATGAAATGCCCACACCGAGGCCCAAGTCTGTAGTACCTGAATCATAACTTCTGGGGTGAAGCTATTTTTGTTCTCAGTGTTGCTGTTATTGTTGTTGTTTTAATTTGCTATAGGGCATGTGTGCTCACCCAGGAGAGAAAGAGACAGAGACAGGGAAAGTGAGAAAGCACTTCCAGGGGGGAATGGCCATACCATAAACCCTCTTCACTGTTCTCTTGGGGTTTGGGGTGTATGTATGCTCATCTGCCCAACATGTTTCTCAAGCTGCCAGGTCTGGACTTGACCTATCAATAGCTATGCAGAATCCAGCTAGCTTAACCACCACTGACTGACCCAGGCCCAAGTATTTTAAATTTTCCCTATATCCTGTGGTCTGGGTTGAGAACCACTACTAATAAAGGAACTAAACAGCTGGGCTGTAACACAGACATGTTTTAGATGCACAACTGATGGCAGTGCACAGGCTGGAATGAACAGTGTTTCTCAGTGTCTTCTAGGAAATACCTACAACAGAAGCACTGAGGGTGTTCACTGAAATCTGGACCTCCAGACCTTTTGCTTCTTTATTAGAATCTTGGAAAAAATGGGAAGGAGAGGAAGGCTGACAGAGGACAGCATGTTTAATAAGTCCTACAGGTATTTCTCATGCACATTAAAGTTTGAGTGTCACTAGATTAGAAGAGGAAAGATTGAAGGTAAAGGTTATGATAGTTTCTTTAAAGTTCTGGATTAGCATCATGGGCATGGGCAAAATATAAGGATTGAAGAGCTTGATAATATATTACAGGAACAAGATAAGAAAAAATCCAAGTAAAAATTGCTTTAAAAAAGTTTCACAGTGCATGTGCACTTGCAAGAGAGAGACACAGAGAGAGGAAGAGAGAAAGCACCCTCTAATGGGGCATGGTCATAGTCAATCCCCCCTCCTCCATTTCTCCATCCCACTGGCATACGCACATGCCCAGGGTGTTTTTCAAGCTGCCAAGGCTAGAATTCAAACCATGGTCAGTCATTTGGGATCCTGCTCCAGGCATTAGGCCATAGGGCCAGCCTATAAAAGCAGCATTTATATAATTGTTCGTAAGTTTACAAAAAAACCAACCTATCAGTTTCTTAATAGCTCTTGGACAAGTATCCCATTTTACATGAGAAAATATATCCAGAAGGATTATGTGACTCATTCAAGGACCCAAATCAATGGCCCATTCCATTGTTCTTCCCACTTAAGATGTCTGGTGGTGGTAGAACTAGCTGACATTAAAATTCATGAAAGTTCATTAAAAAAACAACAAGCAAAAGAAATTAAAGCAGACAAAAAAAAAAAAGAGAGAGAGAGAGAAAGAATCAATCCCTTAATTTGGCTAGACTGCCAAAATTTTTAATGATAATTCTGGAGAATTTGCCACCAGAATTAATACTCTTTCTTTTTTTGAGTATGAAAAGCATATGCTTCTTCTAACAAGCATAAATAATTTAAATGTTAGGAATGAATGATGCTATCTCTACAAAAACAAGATGAACATGTTGGGTTTCCATTAACCCCTTTCAATCCAAATTAAGCTTTTGTGAGGTAGGAAATGTGGTTGGGATAAAATACACAAAATACAGCTGTAAGAGGTGTTATGGAATGATTTTTTTTCTTACACAATAATCGCTTACATACACATATTAAAAAATAAGCCTTACTTAGGTCTTCTGAAGATGTGTCCATACTGGGAGCAGGCAAGACCAACTGTTGGTGTATACACAATTGGCATTAGACTCTCGATATCGTCTTGCAGTATCCTATAAAACAACTTCTCGTTTCTTTCCTGTATTCCCATTACATAGATGTATCTGAAATTAAGCACAGTAAGTAATGGCTAAGTCAGGCTGCATTACATCCAGAGTTTGGCTTCTGAAAGTTAAACCTAAATGTCCAAAATCGAGCCGGTCTCACCTCTACACATCAAAGGAAAGCAAAACTCTAATTTATCACCCTTTATCACCTAAACTAAAAGCTAACAAAAACATAAACATGTATGAATCGTTTGTGATGAAGATGAGGAGGAGGAAAAGAACAGAACAGGTAAAGTTTACTGAGCCCTTACTTTGAGTCAGGCTTTGTACAAGGCACTGGAAATAGAAAAAGAACACCACAAGGTCCCTAGCCTTAAGGAACTAATCTTCAAGGAGACAGACACATTAAGTGAGGAAGCAAAATAAAGTAGTATTTATTCAAGTGTTCACTGAAATTGTGTGCCAGCCCCATTATGAACTCCAGGGATGTAAGAATGACTCCTGCCCTCCAGCAGTCTATAATCTAGTAGAGTTGTCAAATCATATCATCACTAGGGTTTGATTCCTGGCTCACCCTGAAAGGTCCAGGTAGTGTGCACCTGGGGGACTGAGGCAGGAGGACTGTGTCTAAAACACACACACACACACGTGTATCACTTCCCACCCCACATACACATGGGGAAAAGAAGAAAAATGGTAAATGGCTCATGCCACTCTCTGATCACAACCCTCTACTATTTTGGCTAGCTATACAATGCCCTCACTCCATCATTCTCTAAGGGATTTCTACCTCCTCGATCACTTCAGTTTCTCTCATTCTGTAGTTCTCCAGGAAGCTTTATCTGACTCTTGAGTTGGTGTACACTCCCTTTTCGTGCTCTAAGAGTATACCCTGCATATGCCTTTCTCCCACTGCATTTCTCAGTATAGCACAGCGATCAGTGATAGGCACTAATCTGCTGATGCGCTAGTGCTAGGGACTAGCAGTTTGCCAGAATCGTTGTCCATTGCCCATACACTCCAGTTTGCCAGGATCAGTTTAGTTACACTTCTTATTTGCTCCCCAAATTCTAACAGGTTAGACAATACAGTATACGGTCACCTTATCTATTACCCACTTCAGTTCCTCAGTAGCTAGTACAGTGTCACACATGAAGTGATCAATGAAAATTGTTGAATAAGATGGGTGCAAATTTTGCTTCTTTTAAAAATTATTTAATGAGGGACCAGCATTTGGCTGTAATAGCTATGTCGCTGGACTCCCACGTAGTCAACTGTAGTTCGAGTCCCGGACCCGGTGGCTTAAACTCACGCCAGGTGCATGTGCGTGCGTGCCTAAGATCCTGAGAGGAGAATGGAGGAGAAGGGATTGCGGTGTGGTCATCCCCCCTGGGGGGTTATTTCTTACTTTCTGTCTGTCTCTCTCTGTCTTTCTGGCGGGCACACATGCCCTATAGCAAAAAAAAAAAAAAAAAAAAAAAAAGTATTTAATTAATGTAGTTATTGCCAGTGGGTACATGAACTCAAGCACACGAAAAGCAAGAAAAAGAGAAAGTGTGTAACCAGTGGGACCCAGTCATGCCACAAGCGCCTTTCCTCCATTTCTCCATCCTATCAGGATCTAGAGCACCAACCACACATGCCCAGGATGCTTTACAGCAGCAGGGGCTGGGATCTGAACTGTGGTCAGCATGTGGGATGCAGCTTTCTCTGCACAGCACTTAATATGCTATAGGACCAACCTTCTTTTGGTTCTTACATCCCATTCAAACTTGAAATGCTCTGATTTTAAGCATGAAAACTGATTTCTGCTAATTTTACAATAGCGAACACAGTTGGAATATTCTCTAAAGCGAAGGAAACCCGGTCATTAAGAAAACAATAGTTAATTGACAAAAACACGACTTCCATTATGAGATTGTATGTTTCTCTTACCACAGTGCTCCTAATTTTAAAAATCAAAATATTAGTGAAAAAGCTAAAGCTCTAATCAACTCTTACTTTTCCAAAGGGCTGGTCATTTTTTTCAAGTTTCTATGGAATCGTAAGGCTTGAATATCTTGTGTTTCTATTTTTGGAGGTAGAAGTCCTTGAAGACCAAGCATTTGTCGTTCCTGTAATGTAAATGCCATGCCCTAAAGAGGAGAAATCAAAAGATTAAAACGATTACTTACTAAAGCAGGACTGGCAGGGTCATTC